GACAGTTGCTTACTGCCATGTATTGAGTTAATGATTCAGGAGAATGACGGAGGGGCAGCAGCAGCACTGTATAGGGGACAGGCAGCAGCACTTCTACTTGCTGCTGCTGCTGCTGCTGCTGCTGCTGCAGTAGATCGGAGCCGAGAAGATCTAGCTCTGCTGCTGCTGCTGCAGCAGCAGCAGCAGCAGCATCGATGGTGTAGCAAAGGAGACACCTAATATAAAGACCTGTGGGGCCTTGCTGCGCTGCCCGCAGCAAAAGACTTAAGGAGACAGGTAGCTGCAGCACAAACAGCAGCAGCAGCAGCAGCAACAGCAGCAGCAGCAGCAGGATATAAGGGAAATGTTGTAGAGGGGAAGCAGCAAAAGGAGACAAATAAAAAGAGACAAAGAAGAAAGGAGACAAGGAAAGAAAAGGAGACAAAAGGAGACATAAAAGAAAAAAGGAGACAAGAGACAAATAGATAGGGAAGCAGCAGCAGCAACACCAGCAGCAGCAGCAGCAACAACAACACCAGCAGCAGCAAACGTAGGGACAGACTTGGATATCCACAGCAGCATTTTGCTGCTGCAGCGATTCGCAAAGAACAACAGAAGTGTCTCCTAGGCAAAAAGGAGCAGCAGCAGCAGCAGCAGCAGCAGGAGAGGTAGCTGCTGCTGCTGCTGTAGCAGGAGAGGTATCTGCTGCAGCAGCACCCTTCACGACCAAGACAACACGACCAACGGGAGGAATGCGCGAGCTGCTGCTGCTGCTGCTGCAGCTGCTGCTGCTTGTAGGGAAGCAGCAAGAGGAGACAGATAAGACTCCTCTGTCTCCTGCTGCTGCAGCAAGAGACCAACGGCAGCAGCAAAACAGTTGAACAACAGAATCCCCACCGCAGCACTGCCACAGTTGCCCAAGTTGCTGCTGCAGCTGCTGCTGCAGTTGTTGCTGCTGCTGTTGTTGTTGCTGCTGTTGCTGCTGTTGTGTCTGCTGCTGCATCCTTTGTTCGTGTGGCTCCGGAGCAGCAGCAGGTGCTGCTGCGGATGGTTGCTGTTGTTGCTTTTGTGCAACATTTCCTGTTGGTGCTGTTGCTGCTGCTGGTGCTGCTGCTGTTGCTGCTGCTGCTGCTGTTGCTGCTGCTGCAGGCTGCTGCGTCGTAGCAGCAGACTCGGGTGCAATAGCCTTTCTTATGACATTAAATTTCTTCTTACCTGTAGATGCCCATGGCGTCTGCTGCTGCTGCTGCTGCTGCACTAGAGGAGAGCAGCCACCGCAGTCTTGCTGCAGTTCTGCTGAGCCACCTGCTGCTCCCCTCTGCTGCTGCTGCTGCTGCTGCTGCTGCAGCTGCTGCTGGCGTCTCAATCTGGCGTCAAGCTGCTGCTGCAGCAAAGCAGCATCTAAGAAAGGCTTCCCTAAATCCAACTCAGGGGGAGGTTGCAGCTGCAGCAGCAGCAGCAGCAGCAGCAGCAGCAACAGCAACACACAGCAGCAGCAAACAGTATAAACATTAGTATAAATATAAATATAGTGTTTGGGGTTATTAATAGAGTTTAGGGTTTGCAGGAATTATTAGGGTTTAGGGTTTTCTAGGGTTTAGGGTTTAATTAGGGTTTAGGGTTTAATTAGGGTTTAGGGTTTAATTAGGGTTTAGGGTTTAATTAGGGTTTAATTAGGGTTTAATTAGGGTTTAGGGTTTACGCGTAATTGTGCATCTTGTTGTACAGGAAGAAGATCCTCTAATTGGAGGGGAAAAGAAAAAGAATTAAAAAAAGAAGAAAAAAATAAATTATAACATAGCTCTGCTCGCCCGCATAACTGTAGATAGACAGCAGCAGCAGCAGCAGCAGCAGCAGCAGCAGCAGCAGCAGCAGCAGCAGCAAGAGTAACAGCAGCAGCAAAAAGAGCAGCAGCAGCAGCAGGAAAAAAGGAAGAATTGCATGGGGTTATATAATCATACAGAAAATATATTTCTATACAGCAGCAGCAGCAGCAGCTAAGATAGTCACAGCAGCAGCAACAGCAGCAGCAGCAGCAGCTGCTGCAGTATGTTCGTTTCTGTGTCTCTTACCTCTGCGTCTGTGCTGCTGCGTGCTGCTTCTACTGCTGCCTTTACCCTGTGCTGCAGGCGTTGCACTGCTGCTGCTGCTGCAGCTGCTGCTTCTTCCCTCTCTGCCTTTGGGTCCTGCTGCTGCTGCTGCTGCTGCTGCTCATCTTCCTCCTGCCGCTGCAGCAGCAACTTGCCTTGTGCTGCTGCACCTAATGTTAAGAAAGCCTTTGCTGCTCCCCACAGCAGCACGCGCTGCACCTGCGGCCGCAACGACGGGTCCCCTGCCTGCAGCAGCAGCAGCAACAGCAGCAGCAGCAGCAGCAACGACACCAGTAAGTTATCTTTTACTAATCTTGCATGCACACATACCACTCCACCTAGGGTTTAGGGTTTAGTAATTAGGGTTTAGGGTTTAGTGATTAGGGTTTAGGGTTTACGAGTAGTATAAGAGAGGAGACAGCTTCCTCTATGAATTGTATACCAGCAGCAGCAGCAGCAGCACCCTTATATAGCTGCCTATGGTACTCTCCTGCATGCACAGCAGCAGCAGCAACAGCAACAAAAGAAAACAGCAGCAGATAACGTAGCTGCTACTGCTGATGCTGTTCCTGGTGCTGCTACAGGTGCAGCTTTTGCTCTTGCTGCTGTTGCTGCTGCTGCTGCTGCTGCTGCTGAGGGCAGCAAAGAGACAAGAGGAGAGAGAGATGATGGAGGTGCCTATACACCGCAGCCTTACTTACCTACGATCCATCCAGCAGCACGTATAACATCGGGGTGTATAGACACCTGACTGTTGTTGCTGCTGCTGCTGCTGTTGCTGTTGCTGCTGCTGCTGTTGGGGTTGTTGGTGTGCAGCTTCCCCATACAGTCATCAAGAGAGTTGCTGCTGATGTGGCTCTCCCTCTGCTGCTGCCTCAGTGCCCTTAATACCTCCAAGCTATTGCTGCTGCTGCTGCTGCTGCTGCTGCTGCTGCTGTTGCTGCTGCCTGGTAGCTTAGATTTTGCTGCTGCTGCTGCTGCCTCCAGCAGCAGCATGCAAAGATGTGTGCTGCAGGGTCGTACCTCAGGGACACGTACGGATATATCCAGTAGCTGCTGCGCAACTGCAGCAGCAACTGCAGCATCACCACTGCTGCTGCTGCTGCTGCTGCTGCTGCTGCTCCTGCAGCAGTTGCATGCAATGTCCACCAACACCGCCACATACCACTCAAAGTCCTCTATCAACTCGTAGTCATTCCTGCAGCAGCAGCAGCAGCAGCAGCAGCAGCAGCAGCAGCAGCAGCAGCAGCAGCAAAATAATAATAAATAATAAGTAATAAGGAGACACAAAGGAGACAAAAAAGGAGACAAAAAGGAGACAAAAAAGGAGACAGTTGTTTGCTTACTTTGCTGCCATCTGTACAACAGGCATAATAAAATCTGCAGGGCTAACAGCAGCAGCAGCATGTTTGCTGCTGCTGCTGCTGCTGCTGTTAGCAGCATCAAATGCAGCAGCAAGCATGCGCTCGCATGCAGCAGGGAAAGCAGCAGGAGCAGCAGATGCAGCAACTAAGGAGACACCTGCCTTACGCAGCATACTGTCTCCGCTCCTTGCACTCTGTACACACACACACACACACACACACACACACACACACACAATACATGCTGCTGCTGCTGCTGTTGCTGCTGCTGCTGCTGTTGCTGCTGTTGTTGTGCGGTTGTTGCTGCTGCTGCTGTTTGTGTTGTTATTGGTGCATGCACCGTACAAAGACACACTAGATGGGTCTTGTGCTAACTGTTGCTGCAGCAGCAGCAGCAGCAGGAGCAGGAGCAGCAGCAGGAGAATATTAGCGTACCTGTAGCATTTGCTGCTGCAGCCCTGGCAGCAGACACAGCAAGGGCTGCACTAATTGTCTCCTTTTATTGAATGTTTGCTGCAGCAAGTGCAGCGCGAGGAAGCAGATGTTGGGGTCAGGGGAAGCAAGAAGGGACTGCAGATGTCTGCATGCAAGCTGCAGCAGCTGCATCTCTGGTGTCGCGCTGCTGCTGCTGCTGCTGCTGTTGGTGGCGTTGGTGGCGGTAGTAGGACTGCTGCTGCTGCTGCTGCTGCTGTTGGGGTCTGCTGCTGTTGGTGTTGCTGTAATATCATTGGTGATGGCTGCTGCTGCTGCTTGTTCTGCAGCAGCAACTTGATCAGCAGCAGCAGCAGCAGCTGCTGCTGCAGCTTCAATAGGTGCATGCAGCAGCAGCAGGCGCAGCAGCTCAACAATAACACTTTGTGCCTTTGTTTGCTGCAGCAATTTAATTAAGGGTTTAATTAATTTATTAGGTAGCCTAGGTTCTGCTGCTGCTAGCAGCAGCAGCAGCTGCAGCAACTTAATAGTTAACCAGTTGCTGCTGCTGCTGCATAATAGATGAAATAAGGGAGGGACTAATACTAAGAAAGGTTTTGCTGCTGCTGCTGCTGCCTGCAGCAAAGAAGTTACTAAGCAGCATAATACACCTACATCTTCTTCCTGCAGCAGCTGCTGCTGCAGTCGTTGTATTACTTGCTGCAGCACAGGATCCTCTTCCTCTCCTGCTGCTGCTGCTGCTGCTGCTGCTGCTGTTGGTGTTATTGCTGCTGTTGCAGTTTCAGCAGCAGAAGGGCTACCAAGACGCAGTTGCTGCTGTTGCTGTAATTTCTGCTGCTGTTGCAGTTGCAGTTGCTGCTGCTGTTGTTGGTCCCGCAGCAACCGCAGCAAGAAGCAGCAGCAGCAAAGTGCTGCTTTTTTACGTATATAAGGTCTTGATGAGCCCAGCAGCAGCAGCACATCAGGCAGCAAAGAACCTAACATCTCCTTTGTTATAGATACACAGCATAAGGTCTGCAACGCTAAACCTGCAGCAGCAGCAGCAGCAGCAGCAGCAGCAGCAGCAGCAGCAGCAACAGCAGCAGCAGCAGATGGGGAAGGAGATGGATATAGGGGGCAACGGGGGCAGGAGGGC